GACGGATCGCGTCGATCCGTATCGTTCATCGTTAACAGACTGGGACTACCTGGACTATGGCTATGGAAACGTGTCCCCTGGCCGGATATGCTCTGCGGCAAGTACGCCGATGCTGAGGATGGCGGCGGCGACGAGTGCGGCGATGACGCAACAGACGCCGGCGATGCTGATGAGGACGATGCCGATGCCGATGCCGATGCCGATAGCGAGGACGAGGGCGACGACGACATTGACATGGCTGGGTTGGACTTGAGATTAGTAGCGTGTGTGTGATGGCCATGTTGGCCATGGGTTAGACCCGTTGCCTGTGTTGTGTAGTAACCGTCACCAGCGATGAGTGGTTGATTATGGGCATGAGGTTGATCAATGAGATTGGATGTGGTGCTATTATTGTGGTTAGTACTACTCAGCATATGAACCAGGGACTTGGCACCAGTTGGAAATGCAGTTGAAGTTGAGGTTGATGTAGAAGTAGCAGTAGAATTAGAAGTAGAAGAAGAAGACATAGGAGTAGGAGTGGTAGTTACTGGCATAGGCGATGCATTGTTCGTGGTGGTTGAGTTGGTTGTGGTGGTGGTGGGTGTATTGGATGATGCAACGTCGCTCGATGATTTCTTGTGGCCAGCCGCATCCAATCGGAATCCGATGCTGCCATTACCCATAACCAGAATTGAGTTACTGTTAGCTGAATTAGGATTAGTGGCCGTAGCAGCTGGCGAAGCACCCGCACCATAGTGTAGACCGTGTCGGGTGCGTGGTGATGTGAGCAGATCCTGCAGCGATCTCGCTGTGCTACTGCTACTGGTGATTGTGGGCGACGTCAGACTGTCGGCACTTGCCTCATTTTGACTCGCTTTCTGCTCACCGTGCTCTAATATGGAGGCGGCATTGGCTTTGGGTGTGCTTGTCTTGCCACTGGCTAGCGCCAGGGCCAGACCACTGAGCGCGTTCGCATTGGGCGTGGGCGAATGCTGTGCCTTCTGTATGGCACGCTGCAGCAGTCCAGCTGAAATGAGGGAATGTTGCTGCTGCTGTTGCTGCTGCTGCTGCTGCTGCGACTGCGACTGCGGACCGCTGCCGGCTGAGCCGTTGCCCGTCGTGGGCGACGTCTGCGATAGGCACATGGCGGCAAATACTTTGTTCATGTAGAGCTGCTGATTGGAGCTGACGGACACCTGCAGCGGCGAGGTGCTGCTCACAGCGGCGTTGGACTTGGGGTAGCTGGACTCCTGATAGTGGATCTTCACATGGGCCAGCACAGCGTCCCGATTGTGATGTCTGCAATGGTAGCAACGAGGAAGGGAGGGAAGGAAGGAACTTGCATTAGCTTAGGCTCCATTTCAAACCAATTGAAGGGATCTCACCTAAAGTTGCACTTGCGACACCTGTAGAAGGTCTTCTTCTCGCTGCCCTCTTGATGCACCTCGGTGATGAGATCATCGGTGGGCTTGCCGGGCGGCGTTTGATGTGTGCGCTTCACTGGCGATATGGTCACCGAGGGCGTTATCATGGCCGAGTGATGTTGCTGCTCCTGCTGCTGCTGCTGCTGCTCGAGCTGCTGGTGCTGATGGTGCTGCTGCGTGGCCATCGCTGCATTCATCATGGTCGCCAGCAGGGGCAGGCGTATTAGATTGTCAGCCAGGGCTGCATCGTCCAGGGCATTCGATTTATTGGCCGTCACTGGCTCCAGGGTGATGTCATGGCCAGTGCCCACGCCCACCTTCTGGTAGTCCTTGAGGAAGGCCAGCGAGGCCACCTGGTTGGGCGTCATTTCGCCCGACTTCATCAGCTTGGGATCGCCATCCTCCTCGGTGACCTTCATCAGGGTGATGTACTTGTTGTACTTGGTGTAGTTGCGCCGGCCCGTCTCATCGTTCATCAGCACCTTGGCCGTCTTGTGCGAGGGATCGCGGATGGTCTTCAGCCGAATGTGCTTGGTGATGTCCCAGCGCCAGTTGGAGCGATACGAGCAGAGCGAGCACTCGAACGGCTTCTTATTCAAATGCCCAACGATGTGGACATGGAAGCGGGACGCTGTCGATGCCCAGAAGCTGCAGTGCGGACACTTGTAGACCTTCTTCAGTGACGAGTTGGCTGCCTCCTCCTCGGGCGTCATCTTTTTGGTTACCTGCAGTGCATGAGAGAGTCAAATTTCATTTTGACGCATTTGTCGTGCGTGGGTTTGCAAAGTCTCTCTCTCTGTATGTGTGTGGGTGTGGGTGTGGGTATTTGGCTGTGTGTGTGTGTGTGTGTGAGTAGGAGAATACTTACCTCGCCATAACCGGGCGCTGTTTCTACACCATAATAGCTGTTCTCCTCATTGCTGGCCACCTGGCTGCCCGGCGACTTGGTCAACAGATTCGCCTTGTCCTGCTGCACCACCGCGGCGGCTATTTCCTTGGCCGCCTTGTTCCAAATGCAGACGCGCTGCTGCTGCACAGCCGCCTGCTGCTGCAGGACGTGCGGATCGTTGCGACGCTCGCAGCTCTCGCCGGAATTCGAGTCGTACATCTCGTTCGCACAGCGTATGACCTCGGCGCATTGGGTCATGTGGTGCAGCAGATCGGTGGAGGACTTGCAGCGGTGCCGACAGTGCTGGCAGCGAGTCGAGCCCGAGACGCTCAAGTTGAGCGCCGAGTGCGACTGGCGATCATCATCATCTTCGTCGATCTCCAAGCGATCGTCGGCATCGTCCTCGTGCAGCGCCACATCGTCCTCGTCTATGACCACAGCCGAGGACTGGCAGCTTTTGCCGTGGATGATCGATTCGGACAGGCACTTGGCCACATGGCCACACTGGCAGATCAGATTGTCGTGCTGAGCACCCGTCTTCAGCTTGTCGAAGAAGGAGCCGCCGCCCTTCTTGGCCAGCAGACTGCGCGACGAGCCCATCGAGCCGATGGTCGTGGCGGGCGACAGCTGCGGCACATCCGACTTGTCCAGCATCTCGGAGATCTCCTTCTCGTTGAAGAACTTTGAGGCGATCTCGGTGAGCGAGCTGCGCGAGGCATTCGTATCCTTGGAAAGGTTAAGCACGCTGCAAGGTGGGAGTGTAGAGAGGGTTTCATGGGTTAGTTCAAGGCTATTGGGTAAAGTTTTTGTGCAATTCCAATCCTTCCTTAAGATCTAGAGTATTTTTATATCTATCTCAAGCTTAATTTTCCTGTATATCAAAAAGAAATGTGTATAGAATGGATAAAGTAAGATCTAAGGTCATCAGGTAAACTCTTCCACCAGAGAGTATATTCAAAATCCTAAACAAGTCCAAGATCTAAGGTCTAAACATCTACTCATCATTTGGGAATCCAACTCAAGCCATCTCTGAGATCAAATAGGTTTTAGATGTATGTATATGTACTTACTCCTTGGGACTCTTTGTGATGGGTATTAGATTGGGCACCGGCCGGAGGGCACGCGGCGTGGCTGTGCCGACGCTGGACGTGTCCGAGGAGCAGCCACCCTTCTGGGAGAGATCGGTGGGCTCCTCGTCGTCATCGTATTTGCTGCGCTTGCCGTAGTGCTCCTCGCCGCTCAGGGCGCCGCCGTCGACATCCTCCAGATCATCGTCCAGATTGTTGTTATTGTATTGATCCTCCAGCTCGGTGGAGTCGCTGAGAAAATAGTCGCACATCTCGCTGGCGCCCACCTTGTTCTGGCGTCGCGGCCAAATGGAGCCCGCATTGCCCACGGGCGGCACATGGTGATTCATCTCGTGGACGGTCAGCGACTGCTTGATGTCGGCCGTGAAATCGCAGGCGGCGCACTTGAAGGCGCCAGCGCCGCCATGGTTCTTCATGTGCCTGTCCAGGTTCCACTTGTACGGCGTGCGGAAGTCGCACGTGACGCACTTGATCATCGGCATCGAATGGTATTTGACGTGCTTGCTGAAGCGCGCCTTGATGTGCGTCACATAGCTGCACTTGTCGCAGCGGAAGAACTTGGTCTTGCCGTGCTCGGCCAGCTCGTGGGCGCGCAGCTGGGTGCGATAGAGCGTGGTGAATTCGCAGGCGCTGCACTTGAGCAGACGATTCTGTGGCTCCTCGCCGCCGGAGGATAGCGCCGGCGGTGGGGTGGCCGAGCCGCTGGGCGAGGGCGTTGGCGGCTCCGCCGGCGACGATTGACGATCGTAGGACTCGTGCAAGTCCAGGTCGCGCAGCGTCGCCTGCAGCTGTCGCCCATAGTTGGACACCAGCTCCAGCTGCTGCTCGCGCTGCTGCTGCTCCTCGCGCTGTCGCTGCTTGTAGGCCTCGATGTCGCGCTGCAGCTTCTGCTCCTGCAGCTGCAGCTCGCGCTTCACCTGCTCCAGCGTGGGCATGTCCGGCACCGACATGGCCATCGACTGGCCGCCCATCACGCCGACGCTCTCCTCCAGCCGGCGCTTGCGCGCCTCCCGGCTCATGCCGCGCTTGCCGCGCGCCTGCCCATGGCCGCTGGGTATGCCGTCGGTGCAGCCGTGCACCATCTTCATGTGGCGCACCAGCTTCTGGAAGTGGCGGGAGGCATACAGGCAGAGCTTGCACTTGTTTATCACAATCTTCTCGCCGTGCACGTCGCGCAGATGCGTCAGATGGTAGCGCGGATTCTGCGTGAAGTAGGCGCAATGGTTGCAGCTGTAGTTGCGCTTGATCTTGCACTGGGGCAGACCCTCCTCCTTGGCATCCATAGCGAGCACGACGTGCTGCTGCTGCTGCTGTTGCTGGTGCTGCTGCTGCACGCTGTTAACAACAGCTGCCGCTGCCGCTGCTGCCTGTTGCTGCTGCTGCTGCTGTTGCTGTTGTTGCTGCTGCTGCTGCTGTTGCTGCTGCTGCTGCAATAGTTGCTGCAAGCGATATCTGTCCAGCTGCTGCTCCAGCGCACTCGCCTCTGCGGACGCTGTGCTCGTCGCTGTGTCCAGCGGCGGCGTTGCATTGCTGCTGCTGTGCGAGTTGGCGCTGTTGCCGCTGCCCTTGTGGCCCTGCTCCATGTACAACTGATTGCCGCTGACGACGCTGCGCACGATTAGCGTATCGCCAGAGCGCTGCACCATCGACGGCAGATCCATGCTGCTGCACTCTGTCTGAGCGGGTGTGCGCGTATGTGTGTAGTATATACGTGTGTGTGTATTGGTGTTTGTTTGTAGGTCTCTTAGCCTGGCCAATTAACTAATGTTTAACTGCAAGAGAAGAACAAGTGAAAAGGTTTATTAGTTATTGCGGCGATTACGGGGGCAGATGTTAAGTTAAATTACGATTATTCGTTCTTTTAAATTGAAAAATATTCGCCGTATGTCATAAAAAAAAAACAGGTGAAAATTAAAGCTAAATAGCCGATAAAAAATATATAAATTAAAAATAATATTAATACAAATTTAATTTTTTAGCAAAGAAACGAATATTCATTAAATTAAAAATTCTAGCAACATTTTTAATGAAGCAAATTAAATAAATTAAGTAAAAATAAATAATCGTATAAATTATATTTAATTAATAAAGTTATTATACTTAAATGCATGATGCATTTTAATTAATTTAATATATAATAATTTAGTTATCAAAGGCAATTAATTTAATAATTAATTATAATTATACTATCTATTTTTTGTATATTTTTTTATTTCTTTATTATTAAATTTTAGTTCACACTTTCAATTTGAAAATTATCAAACATTTGAATGTAAGTATTTTCAACATGTGATAAAAATACTATATATATAAATCAGATACTAAACAAATATTATTTCTGATGCTTGATTAACTCTTCTATTAGGTATATTTATACAATTCGGCTTCAACAGCTGTGTTTAATGCTCAGACAGCCCACGCACAAGGAGCTTACTTATCGTTAAATATGTTGAGCACGCACCTGAAAAGTATGCTATAAAAAATGTGAGAACGTATTCCACACTAAATGGTGTCTGTGCCGAGTGCATTTGAAATGTGCCATTAAGACTTAAAGCCGTCTTAAATGCAGATTTTCGGTACGCTGCAAACACTCATTAAGGACACGCACACACACATAGAGAGTTGGCTGTGCGTAAGTGTGTGTGTGTGTGTGTGTGTGTGTGTGTGCACAGCTCATAAATATTTCAACGCTTAATGTTCCGGCACATTGGAATAACAGAAGCAACAACAGAAACAGCGACCCGCCCGAATGATCATCGCTTGGCGACGCACTGGAGCAGCAGGAGTGGGCTCTGCTGTTTGTCTCTCTCTCTCACACACACACTCTCTCTCTCTCTCTCTCTCTGTCTATATGTGTGTCGCTTTCGTTTCGTACGAATAAAGGATATTAAAATGAAATGTATGTGCCGCTGGCGGCCTGTGAGGCCAGCGACAACGCGACAATGGGCCGAAAACCCGCAGCTGAAGCTAAAGCTGAATCTACTGCTGCTGAAGCTGTAACCGAATGGAATGTGGGCACAATGAATTCAGAAAGCGATGTAAATTTGAGAGCCAGCGAAACGGGCGCCGTAAGAAGGTCCTGTTACAGCCACAAATCTCCAGGGCGAATGTATTGTAGTTGGGTTCGGGGTCCCAAATGTGTTACACAAATCCATTTAAGGGCTAATTGGAGCTGCTTGGCTGACAGCCGGAAATGCCGATGTCTACATACAAAAAAAAAAAAAAAAAAGAGACACCAACAAAACAGAATAAAATTCGGATTGGGCCATTGATGTTGTGGCCTTTTAAAGTTTATGCTGAAGAAGGTCAGCGCGCCGGTTCATTCTGCATGAGCGCACAGCTAGGCAAAATGTGCTGACAATCAGCCGGGCAGCAAGCCACAAGCCACTCGCATGTCAAGTGCGCATTATCCCTTTTGAACATCCTTTCACATAATATTTATATTATTTTCTGTCTTTATTTTCCGTATTCATATGCATATTCAATATGACATTTACTTAGACGCTTAAGTGCTTTTTATTGAGTCAATGGTAGAGCGAAATGTGTGTTTCGTTTTAGACTCGAAACTCAATTAGTATTTCTCTTGGCTCTGATTATGTTCATGCTCAAGATGAGAAGTTCCCCCCAAGAAGAGTGCTTGCATCAGGGATGCTAAGAAAGTCACGGGTAAATCATAATTTTCATTTTAATCTTATACTGGCTTAAGTTTTTTTATGACAACTTATTACTATACAAAATTAATTAAATAAATAATAATGACCAAATATGTTTAAAATATAATATTACAAAATTTATTAAATAAATAAAAATAAAAACAGAATAAAAAACAAAAACAAAAAACCAAATTAATAAAAATAAAAAAAAAAATAAATAATAAAATTGAATGATTCAAATTTATTCAATTTATGGGAACAGATTGAAGACTTTTAGACTTTACTTAATCATAAAATTTCAACTAATATATTCCAATTAATATATAATTAGAAAGAGCGAGAGGGAGGGAGAGAAAGAAAGAAAAATATTGACATATAGAAATGTTGCGACCTTAGTTGAAAGACTCAATCGAGTCACATGTTACCTAACAACAGGTTGACAGATTACATACCAGATATATATTATGAAATATTATAAGCAATCAAACAGTTCAATAACTAAGGCACGATAATTATATCGTAAATATATCAAATTAAAATATATTATACCGAATTTCATCGAATGCTCAACAATGACAATTAAAATTCACGCAAGCCGTGATCACAGTCACACTTTAGCATTACGGCAATGTGCCGGGCTTGAGGCGGTGGTGGGGGCGATGCAGGGGTGTCGTATCCCTTAGCATTGTTGACGCCTTGCGTTAGGCTCATTTAAAATATGCTTATTACACGAGTAGGCAACGACAAGGCTTCCTGCTTATTTGCCTTTGTTTATGTTTTGTTTGTTGTTGCTGCTTTTTGTATTTCTTGCCCGAGTAAACACTTAACACACACACACACACACGCACACAGACACAAATGTGCACGCACACGTGCTGCTGTTGCCGCCGCAGTTTCTGTGGCGCTTTGAAATTTTAATTTTTTCACGCGACGCCTAAAAGTATGCAAGGCAAAGAGTACGAAACATTAACACGCACTTGGACGCGGACGCGGACGTCGCAACGCGTCGCAGCATCCGCTGCCACAGCGACTGTTTGTTTGTTTGTTTGCTTGCTTGTTCCGTGTACCCTTTACATATTAGAAATGCATTAAATGAGTGAGGGTATATTGCGTGTGTGTGGTGGCAATTGTCGCTGAGTCTATAAGAAATGCGTGCTCGGCTCATTTGTCTGCATAAACGATTTGATCGCCGTGTCAGAGGAAGGACCTTAAAAAGTATGTATAATGTAAATGGAGTACATGTGTGTTTATATAATTGGGGTATGCTCCTTGTGCACGATATATAATCAATTAATAATTAAAGAATCAATATATAATTCGCAGCTCACGTTTCTGAGATTCAACTACTCAAGAGACTGGATGGTCTTCATGGATAACTATAAGGAATGTCAATTATGTATTTGCTGGGACTTCTAAGAAAAAGTATTGAGTAGAGAAAAAAATGTAAGTCTTGGCATAATAATAGTAAAAAAATATTCAGCATTGTCTTCAGTTGCAATTTCTATTTTCACAGGGTATTTCACAGTCAGTCACTCCTACTAGCATTGCTGTCCTGCTGTTGCTTCTGACGACTTTTTTCTGCCTGCACAGACTTAATTAATCTTGCCGTGGGCTTAGCACGTCGCCCTGGTTGTCCTGTTCCGTTTCGTGTTACTTTCACATCTTTTTCTCCATCTTTTGCTGAAGTTCGTCTTTTTTAACGTCCCGTTTATCCCTTTTTTTTAGATTCTTATTTCTCTTTTGCCGTGTTGCCGTGTTGACTGTTGCCTGCTGGCTTTTAATGAGTGAGAAAACGTTTCGTCTCGCTGTTAGTGTTAGCAAAACGCCCGTTTGATTGATGGGCGTAACAGCCTTTCTCCTTGTGACTTTTGCATTTAATTAAAATTCAATTTATGCCCTGGCGCTGCATTCAAGCGCCAAATATATAAATATGAAATTTATGCTAATTTATGTTGAAAAAAAAGAAGGAAAATGCTGGCCTTTAAGCCAAATTGGGCAAGCAGGATGCAGACGGACAAACTGCTGTCATGTGTCCTGTGCGCCATTTGCGTGCATCCTCAATTGTTTTTTGTTTGCTCTGCGTGGCTCTGTGGCTTTGCATCCTGTTGGCCCGTTGGCCCGTTGGCACCAAATTAAAAATGTGTGGACTACAAATTAACAGCAATGGCTACGGCAAACAGCAATGGCCATGGCAGTGGCAATGGCAGTGGCACTGGAAAAATCTTTTCGATTCAGTTGTCGACCCTCGGCGAAATGCTGTTTGAGCAGCGCCAATGCTGCTACTACAAAATGTTTTTATTCATCATCAATTTGTTTGTTGCTCTTTGTGCCGTAAGTAGTTAGTGCGCAAAAGTTGTTAAATAACTTTGCCAAACAGCCAACGGCAGCAGCCAACAGCAGGAGCTGCACCAACAGCAGTTGTTAATTGGAAAATTTAATGCGCTGCAACAAAGCAAATTGCATTTTATACTTTACTCGCGGAGCCGGATAGCATTTGAAACTTTATTAGGTTTGCTTAATTTCGAATATTTTAAAAGCATATATATTCTATAGAAAACTCTTTTGGGAATGAGTAAGGTGAGTACTTTGCGAGAGATAGCATAGGATGGATATAATTGTATAAATAAATAATTATTTTATAAGTATACTAAACACACTTCATCCGGGCGTAATTAGGCTACTGCAGGTCAGACTTTATATTAGATGAAGCCCAATAGATAAAAAGTATTCTGATTAAAGTTTTACTTTTACGTTTTATATTGTATTTGTAATTTTTTAATTTTATTTACTCTTCTTAATAAAGAACATTTTTTTTTTATTTTAAAAGTTGGTTTCCCTATCTATATATTATAAATAGATTTTTATATAAAAACATTATCTCACGAATTTTAATTATTTATTTATTTTTTTATTTCATAGCAAAGAATGTGTGAAAATAAACAAAAGCTTAAAATCAATTCACTTTGACTCGAAAGGAGCAGCTTTTGCTTTGCTATGCCTTTCAAACGAGAGAGGTTTGAGTTAAAGGTTGCCCGAAGGTAATTCAGCTGCGGCGTATATTTTATTGAAATTTCATAAATATTTCATATATACCTGCATACATTTTCAGCATTTTTGGTTTCAATAACAAGTTCGTTTAAGCACAAGCAATAAAGTGAAGTTACAGAATCACTTAGTAATCTTGCTTAAACCTAAAGCTCATAAATAAATGTAATTATATATTTATAAATATTATATATTTTGCTATGATTTAGCCGAAATTCGTATCTTATGTGCGCCTGTATCAAATAAACCTTAAGAGAAACTTTAATAGAAATCCATATGGCCGTCAATTTAGGTGAAATTCTGAGCAAAATTACCCACAGTAAATAAATGAAATGAAAACGAAAAACTCAGAGAGAGATACGCCCTCACATACGTATACCTAATATGCTTCAGTGCATTTTACATTCAAGTGTCTGCTGCCACAAAGATTCCATAGACGTTGTAGTTGCTGTGGCCCGGTAGCATAAATTTTTGTGACTCAAGCCATTCAGAGGATGCCTAATTTTGGAGAATTTTATGCTCAGACTGTGGCATAAATTAGTCAAAGATTTACAAAACTAAATCGCTTGGCAGTCAAAACTTTTCGTTTGGCCATAGTCGTAAAACAATACAAATTCATGAAATTTTAGTTGCCCTCTTTTGCACTTTTTCAACTTTTCGACACTTGGGCAAAACTTGAGCGTTGCCAGAGTTTATCAAATTATGTGGAAGGCAAAAGTCTGGAGGAGGCGTAAGACGGAACTGCGCTCGACTATTGCCTGCACATAAATCGCAACAAATGTCAAAGTTTATTTCCCATTTTAGGGATATTAAATAAAGATTTGTCACGTACCCATCGAAGAGGCAAACGTAAAACTTTAAGTGTTTTTTTTTTTCTTCTCTTATTGCTTTCAACCATATGATAACTGTATTTTCCTGAGCGTCAACACCCTTGACACCAACCTATTTTTAAGAAATTCATGAATGGTTTTGGCCTACTTTGATTTTCATTCCTTCTCGTAGGCGTTTCTCTCCCCATTCGCAGCATACCAGAGAAATTGACATTTTTGCGTTGAGCTGAAAAACATTTTGGCATTTGGTTTCTAATCTACGCCTCGCACCCTCAAACTGAATGGCATCACGTCTGTGCTAAATAGAATTTTCCGAGTTGTTCTTGTTGCTGTTGGCATGTCTTAAAACTTGGCCGGAAGTTGTGAACGCAACTTCCGCTTTTGAATTTTAAATTTAGCTTGGCCGAAAAAAAAAAAAAAAACAAAAACGAAAAATTACTAAAAATAACGGCAGACTTTCTACCCGCACATTGCAATTAGGAGAATACAGTTGCAAAATCTCCGTTACCAGCGTTTTGTCTCCCTTCTGTCCCGCACACGCAGGGCGGGCTGTCAACATTAACATATGTTGGCATATGTTTGGCCAGGAGCTGCCAACGCAGCTCCATCCACCTGCTGTGCCATGTCCATGAATAACAATTCAAAGCCTGCCAGCCCCCAATTGTATATGTATGTGTGTATGTGTGTGTATGTCAGCCGCCAATGTTGTCGTGGCCATTACTCATACGCCATGTTGGCAGGAGCTAAAAAAAAGCGAGACGAGCTCACACACACACACACACATACTTAATTACCACACATACACACACGCACACTCTCACATACATGCGAACATGCTGCGAGCATGTCAGCATACGTTGTCTGTAGTCTGGGCAGTTCGACAGTCTAGAAGCTGTTAAAAAACGTTTTGACTAACGGTTAAATCATAATAAAAAAAAAGGGGGAGAAGAAGCAGCAGAGGTAGAAAACCAACATAGAACCGCCAACAACAGCTCGGCAACAACAATGTCTGCACATGTCCGGCGGCAGCAGCAATTGTTGTTGCTGGCGGCCACAAGGTGCAGTCAACAACGATAACAACAACAATAACAGCAGCAGCAACATTCTGCGCCCGCATGCACATTAACAGACTGCCCATGGGCAGAGCTACTGATGCACCGCTCATGCATTGTCTGCACTCACACACGCAAGTGCATATGGCAGCTAACAAAGCTTGCGGCAGTTCACTCACACACAAACACACACATGCGCGCACTCGTGCTGACTGTCGTCGCTTTTAACATCCACGAGATTTGCTTTGTTTAAATTAAAAAAAAAAATGAACTCATGCTAACGCTTGCCTGCTCTAGCCGCAGCTATGCACTCCGTACAGCACTGTCTCTCTTTAACACACGCTCTCTTTGCTCTCGCTTTCGGTTCTGTTTCGGTTTTCTGTTCTATTGCTGATAGCTTTCGCCGACAAATGCTTACTGCCGCCACACAACGAAACGCTCTTGCGGTCCAACAACAACTGAGCGCAGCTGGCGCTAAGAAGTGGCCGCCATGGTGATTCTGCTGTTTGTTTATCGTGCTGCTGTTAGTTGGACCTCTTTGCCAGCCGCTGCTGTTGTGTTCGATTGCAGATGGTGCCTGTTATGTTAACACTGCAGGCTCTCTTAAGAGAGTGACCGACCGAAAGCCATGCAACAGTCTGTTGCTGCGGCTGCTGCGATTGGTGATGCTGTTAACTAGCGCTGTTAATTTACATTGGATGCTCAGAACAGCTGTTAAGGCTGTTAATAAGCAAATTTGTAGACTCTTAGCTATGAGTAATGTAATAAAAAATGTATAATTAAAAAAAATATATATATAAAAAAAAAAACAATAATACATAAAAAAATATAAGCAATTTAATCAATTTTGCTTACAGTTTTTTTTTTTTAGCATTTTTTGTAAATCTTTTCCCTAAGCCAACAGCTTGTATTTAACTGAATATACATTTTTAATATGATGCCATTTAGGTCTAAATGGTTTTTCTGCTACTTTTATTTATTTTCAATAATTCTTTACAAATCCCGCAGTTAAGTTGCTAACCAAGCTGCAAAAACAGAAAATCCACTTGATAAATGTTAAATTCAAGAACCCTTAAAAAAAGCCGCACCGAAGAGTGCGGCAAGCAAGCGGGCATAAAGTTAAATTCGTGTCCTCTTTCAACGCAATCAACACAAATGCTACTTAAAAATTTATTTGCGACACGCACGAGACCAGCACGCCGTACGGTGTGGGCGGGGAAGGTCCTCAGAGTGTCAGAGATACCCGTATATCCGAGTATATCCGAGACTGAGGCGTTGCAAAGCACAAACACTTAGCCAGCCTACACACGCACACACACACGCACACATGGGGCACTGTCATAGAGGCACATTCATATAGAGGCAAAAAAAGGACAATCAACATTTTAACACTTTAGAGGCAGAGCTGTGAAATAAGCAAGTGTGTGCGCGTGTGTGTGTGCACATACATATATACACGCGCATGTGTATCAGTGTGCGCTGATGGAAGGGTTTACTGAATGGCCAGCTGAAAAATGTGTTGCGGTCATGCATTTTTATACGTTTTAGTCTGGAGCATGGAGCTAAGCGTGTGCGGGCAAGGATGCCGGGGCCACAGGGTCCGGGGCCATGGCCCAGGACCACGGACATGCCACAGGAAGCAGGCAGAAGCAGCACAGCGAGTGGCAGACAGAAGCAGACGTTGGCCTCCCATGCAGACGCTTGACATGCTTCGACTCGAGAATTTTCACAAAATTGTCACACAGAGATGGCGAGAAAGCTCAGACTGTGTGTGTGTGTGTGTGTGTTTAGCTATATGATATATTTACTTGCCTCGCAAATGTATATAGATATATACAAATCGAAAATCAACAGGCAAATAAATGCAGACAATTTAAATGCGTGCGAAAACGTGTCATTGATATAGATATATGTATACATATATGTATATGTATTTACAGTAGTTAGTCTGGTTGGATTTTAATAGCAATTAGGCGGCACACGTGAGAGTTGGCCGGACACGTAGCTTGTACAAATATTTAGCTATGAAAGCAAGACAAGTTTTTAGCCAAATCTTGGCTGGAACTTTTGGCGTAAATCCGAGCACCAAAAACTTTTCTAATCAAACACTTGCCCAGTTGATGGCGCTGAAAACTATGCTACACTCAAGTGCGGTGGCTGTATGTGTGTGTGTGTGTGGCTGCATGTGTGTGTGTGTGTGATTTTGTGTGGGTGCGGTGTGCATGTCCAACTACTGCCAAAGCTCAACTTGTTTGTTTGCTTGTTGCTTGTTCCCTCTCTTTCTCTCTTTATCCATATCTCTCTCACTCGGCCTCTCTGGGGTAAATAAAGCCGCTCGATTTGGCCACAGCAAAGTTGCTCGAGTGCAACATGTGAGGCAACTGAGCCGAGCCACTCACACACACACACACACAGCAACAGGAGCTGGCCTATACTGTGCAGGAAATGCTGTTAGCCGGCGCATGTAAATGATTGCAGCGTAATGAAGCTGCACAAATGCACACTAAAATTCGTTGCACTTGCACCGGATGTGATTGCCACAACCCGAGCTGGGCTGGCCAGTGGCCATATATGTAGTCAGACGTATTGGTTTCATAGTCAAGTGCCAAGTGGCAATTGCTTCATTGCGCGATGCATAAGATTATTATTAATTTAAGAGCAATTAATTGGCTATCGAGCGCAGCGTGCCTGCAGAGATGCATCAATTTATGATTACAAATATACATACATACATGGGTTGGTGTGTGTGTGTGTGACCTACTTTATTGATATGCGCGTCATCTGTGTGCGTGTGTGTGTGCGCTGCACTTTATTTATGCTAAAACAATTTCAAATCAACATATGCTGCGCTGCCTCCGCTCTTATGCCCCGCAAAATATGCTACGCAAACATAAACAACTCGGAAATGTTTGATATATGCTGTTCACATTAAGTTTTAGGCAGAATGTCAACAGCGACTGCGAGAGAGAGAGAGAGAGAGGCTGATATGAAAATTAAATTAAGTTTGATATGCGAGCTTAATTGAGATGGCTGCGTGGGCGCTGGCGCTGGCTTTAGCGACAGATATATGTATTACACATAAATTACTTTATTTATGCTTTGCTTTCATTTTTATTTACTTTTTTATTATATTTTCTTTGCTGATGAATTATTTACAGATTGCTGTCCTGCTAACATTTAGGCAACATAATCTAAACAGAAAGTAATTAACATACATTCTTAGAACTGTGGGCGGCATGCCAGATGGAGATATATAATGTAATAGCAGAGACATTTTAATGTGGCATATGATTTATTTTAAAGTAATGTCTAATAAGATAGCTCTAGAGAGTGGAAATAGTTTAGAATAGAATAGATTCTGGCAAAGCTAAAATACATTAGAAGACTCCATATTATGCACACGTAAATAATAATGGGCTGTGAATGGTAAGTCTATCGAGATATTTGGCTCCAAGAGAGATATTTAGTCCAATATTTTCAGCCTTCAATTATCTCTCAAAATTTACACAACTCTTTCTTTTCGTTCTTTTTATATTTTAAAAGCCCTACAATAATTCTATAAAAATTATGCGCATAAATTAAATGGATTTGCACAAATAAATCAAATTTAATAAATAGCTCTTTTGTCTTCAGTTGGCAGCAGGAGCAGAACAGCCTCGACTAGATAAATTTGATTAATTTGCTGGCTGTTATTTCTTCTTCTTCTTCTTCTTGTACCTCCACTTTATTTGGGCATGCAAGCAGTCAGGTAATCAACGTTCGAAATACGTCGCAGGCAAAGCCACAAAAGCCCTAAAAGACACTTCATCAGGCAAGCGAGTGAACAAGTTGCTGC